ACAGTTGTTATTAACATCTCGGATGTGAGAACTCGCGTGTGTGCGTTTATTGAGAAATGCGGTTGCTTTTCTTGGTACACATCGCATGACCAACGATGAAGCAATCGACCGCAATTGAACGAAAAGGATACTCGATCGTTGTGACAATTACTATGATTTTGAAAGGATACTTCCTGCCAAAGTATTACAGCGCACGCAATCGCGTTGATTTTTTTTTTTGTGTCGTGCATTGTCGAGCGTCATCGGCGAAAACGAAACAATAAATAATGTTCTTTATATTTTTATGCATACTTCTTATGTATTTTTACATTTAAATTTATATATTAATTATTAATTAACTTATTAAAACAAGATTGCTATAAAACTGTAAATCAGAAAAATCAAGGAAAATTTCAAGGAAATTGAAAGCAGGGAAAAGTTAGGAAATTTTGCTTAATTTTTCAAAAATTAAGACAAAAAATTCAAAATACTGTTTGAAGCACCGCGAAAAATCACGTAATTTTGTCTGGAAGTCGGGAAAGACTTATTGTATTTTAGGATGAGGAATTTGTGACAATCCTATAAAAGAGTCTCATCTGTTATTCTACGTTTCAATTAAATTAACGCTTATCTAGGACTTACGTCTTTATAATTCCAATGAGTTTAGATAAACGGTATAAGTGCAACCGTTCGCGCTTTCCTTCGGCAGTGCCTGCATGTGTCTCTCATAAAATATTTTTTCACATTTTGATTGCCATCGTCATTTACGTCCAAGAGGCGTCTTCATCCGCTAATTGAATCAATGTTACCGGACGCGATAGCCGTACGCGACGAGTATATCCCCTTATTTCTCGCTCTACCTCTACTTTGACTTTGCTCTGCGACCATTCTCCGCGTTTGGAAGGCGGATATCGCGGTTATGTCGCTTATGTCCGCGGACGTTAAGATTAAGGCGGTGATCTCGCGGAGTACCAGGAGACCGTCTTTTACGGCGGCGGCTTGCTGTGAAACCGTACGCCGATTCTCGATGGCTTTGCGCCATCATTCTACAACCCCGTGGCGAACCTTAAGCGACCGCCAGACTCCGTAAGAGAGGCTCCTGGCGAGTTATCCGCCTTCTCTGCAGACTCGGTTCTGTGTACTTCGGGATCTGACATTCGAAGATTGAGCCTTATGAAAATTGCGACAAGTTCTCTTAAAATAACAATCTCGTGTTTGGAGAATGATCTGACAACAGATATAGCATGGATAAGAAAAAGCAAACAAATAAATGAGGACATTTCTACAATGAGTAAATCATAACCGATCGTTTCGTTCACTTTACAGTAGATGCGGCCCTGCTTCTATGAATCGAACGTTTAAAAACTCGCGGACACCTAATGGTATCCTTATGCGGTTACAACAATATGGTTAATTGAACAGAATATTCCCGGTGCTTAGCTTCGCAGCAGGTCCATTATTCGAATTACGACATGGCCGTCTCTCGGCGTGATCGCGCCGAGTTCCGCATATTTTTCTGAACCTTACGTTGGGCATGATAACGTTATAATTTAGTACACTCGAAGAATCCCATATTGCTGCTCGTGTCGAAAGAGTTAGATGTTATATTCTCCGGTTAATATCATAAATTCATTACCGTATTTTTCAAGAATCAAACTCGGTTTGAAAGCAAGCTCTCTATATACGTGAAGTTTCTAAAGTTATCTTGTTCCTGAAAGTTTATCTCTTAGCTTTCAATTTCTAATTTAATTACGAATATAAACACACGATGATTGACTGAGAGACTCTGATTTAGAGACTTACTTTATTCATTATTAGTAACTGTCATCGTAAAATCATGAATCGTTATCGTAAAAACGTCATTACAACATTTCTCCAATAATCGCAAATAAGCTGTAAATCTAATTTAAAGCCTATTTAATGTAAGTTTAAAAAGAAAACAAAAGATGTTCGAACTTTTATTGTACAAATTTGTCTTGTTCGCGAAAAATCGTGGGAAAGCTGTATCGCATTTTTATTCCAACGACACTAAAAAGATACATCAACGACTTACGTCTTGATTGTATACGTACGCTATAAAAATATATAAGTAGATCAGTTTACGCGCGAATTCATTGTACATTCTCCACGATGAGATACATTTTCTCTGAAGCGTGTTCGTGTCAACCATCTAATTTTTTCCTTTATTTTCACAGTCGCGACTAAAGAAGCGCCTGATCCCTTCAGCGAATGCGACACAATGAAATTGGATTAAAGTCGTGCCCTTGCTAGTTCTCGCCAGCTCGTTCTCTCTCCGCAGCGACGCGTCTTGAGAGTGAGAGAGGAGTTTTAACGATCTACCGCCGTACAAATTGTCGAGATGCTATCATCTCTCAGCGGGGAGAGAGGAACGGGGGTAAGAAAAGCAGATAGGATGATACGACGCGAAAGAGATGAGAAAGAGAGAGGCACGGAGGGAGGGCAACGAAGGGGGCGAAAAGAGAAGATGCGAGGGAAGATTAGGGCGGCATCTCCCCACGGCGAGGTCGGTAACAGAAACTGCTGTTGGTGATGCTCTTGATGCCGCACCGCAGTCGCTCTTACTGCCGCGTTTCGCCGCACCATCATGCTCTCTCCTCGTATCTGACATGATTCGTACGTTGAGGATTCTCAACAGTAAATTACAAAATATGCTAAGCGGCCGATATAAATCAAAAGTAGGGCCCGCGCGCGTCCCCCGAGGGGTGAGAGAGAGAGAGAGTCCTTTACCCGTCGCCTGAGTCTCCCGGATTCCATGATGCAAAGGGGTAAGGGTCCTCCGCATCCTCCGTGAGTCGACCGAACCCAAAATATAAGAAGAGACCCCTATCACGAATTGGGAACAAGGGAGAATCTCTTTCCCTTTCTCTCCTTCTTATGCAAGGCGTATAGAACGCCGATACGATGGTGCAGTTTGCAAACTGAGCAAATGGACCGGAAGACTCGAACGAGAGATATAAATAGGCTCGACTGGAGAGCAATATATCTACCCAACTAAACTCCACTAAATTGCTTCGAAGTAATATAGAAGAGAGTGGTGTAGAATCGGGAACGTTCGCGGTTCTGTAGGAGCAAAGAATGAGAGAAAGAGTGAGAGTGAGAATGAGAAAAGGGAGAGGGAAAGAAAAGCCTATTTATCGATGGCACGCTGCGTACTCATTTAAGTGCGAGAGATTTATGGAATATCGATAAACTCTTGAAGAGAGAGAATTGTGATTGCTATTTCCTCCTTGAACCTCGTAAATGCAATCCGCGTAAATAGGCTTTGCGTGAAAAGTTCGGATTATTTTATACTTCTTTTATGGCGGTATCAATATAATTTTACAATTTGTTTTAATATTAGAAAAGATATATCTAATATGCATGTCATTTGATTAACAGGAATTTCATTCATCGTTCGATAGCATATTTAAAGAGAAAACAACTTAAACGTACGTTATCAATATCGGACTGATGCATAGCCCTTCTCGGCATTTATCTCGCAATTAAGATAACAGAATATATCTACGTTTGGTACAACGCGAATCGTCTAATTAACGCGTCAAACGTCTCTCTGTGCTGGTCGATTTTACACGCGATTGTTCCGCGCAATCGGTCGCGGTAACGAATTATGCTCACCGCGAGCGCTCAATTACCTGGTCGAGACTATTAATCGAGATACGGCGAAACACGAATAGCTAATAATGCGCTAAGAGTATTCGCTGTAACATCGCAGGACGCGGGACTATCTGCGGATCTACGCTAATCGAGTCCTCCCGATGCACCCGGTACGTATAGCCGTCACGCACACGCACGTGTTTATGGATGAACCACGTACGAGCCGTGGCCACGCGCGCGGCCAGCGCGCTTCTAAATTAAGTGCATTGAGCGAAGAAGAGCCGCGCAAGTGCATAAAATTACGTGCGTTACATGCAAGAGCGGCGCGAAAGGTACTTTTGCAGATTGCTCTACCAAGGCTGTGCACTTTCAAAAACATCGAGAAAAATAATTATCCTCTCGATTCCTCTTTTATATAAGTTATTATAATATGAACGAAAGTGAGAGAGAGAGAATAATAATTGAATAAGAAAGTTACACAGGTAAAACGCAAGAGATAATTAAATTTTTTAAAATAGATAAACGCGTTGCTATATTATTTTAAGATGTTAGTGTGTGTATAGAGATAATAGATTTATTTTAATATAAGTCTTTCAATCTTATTTAGACTTCATTCGTCATAAGCGTTTATACCTATAGATACAGATTTTTGCGAAATCGAAAAGCAACAATCGGTTTCAATTTTAATGTTATTTTTTAGGAAATTGTTTCTGTCCCAGGCTCTCTGCAAAAGTTCCAGTTAATCTTAACGGAAAGTCTCGAGAATATTCTTGAATTATTTAAATGTGCGAGAAGCGTATAAAATCTCCCTGCATTCGCATGAGCGTGATTATATTCCGTGGTTCGAGCCGTGGAAAATCGCGTTTCTTTCCTTCGCCTCGCGTATGATTACGAAGCTTACACGTGCGGATGAGAATCTGAAATAGCGAGATAGCGACGTACCCGCGAAACTTCAAAGTAGCGAGAGAACGTTGGATATAGCGTGCATAATAGCGGCCGTTGTCTCCGGCTATCGGAGATAAAATTCGTATAATAAAATTTTATTTTAGAATTAAACAGTCGGTATTATGAAAAGATAAAAAGATATTTTTTCACAAGAAGTAAACGAAGATTTGAAAATACTGATCATTTAAATTGCTCTCTAAAGCTTTTAGAATAAATCTTACTCTAAAGAGTGAAATCTTATTGATTGAAAATTGAGTCACTCTTTTTCAAGACTCAAGTTTTACTCTTTAGAGTGAGATTTCACTCTAAAACATTTAGAAAGTATAATAATGCGAGAATTAAAAATGTATGATTTCGGTAGTTGCAGAAAGTCGTTGGAAATTAGAATTAAAAGATTCTAATACCACTTTCTTTATACCACTTAATCATTATATTATTACAATAACAAAATCAACACTTACGTAGACCAGAGTTCGTGCGTGGGTGGCAGTTTGACATCCGCCGTTTTCTCGGGCAATTTGTAGTATTCATAGACGTAAGACGCAGCAGGATCATCGTTGTGGTTAGTTACCGCCGACTGATGCTGCTGCTGAAGGTTTAGCATGGCCGCGGTCGCTACGGAGAGCGGATGCTCACAGTAGGCGCGCCAATCGCCCTCCATACCCTGAACCTGCACCTGCACCGCGGCGACCCTCTTGTGAACTTCCGGATCGGCGCCCTCGGCGCCGCTCTGCAGGGTTTGCGCCGCCGCCTCCTCCGCTCCCAATTCCTCCTCTTCTTCCGGTTCACGCTGCCCGGATACGTAACTTTGTTGCTGCTGCTGTTGCTGCTGTGCGTCGTCGCTAACGACGGTACCGTTGGTTTCCTCCTCGCTGCGACTGCGTCGTCTGTAATTATAAGTAAAGATTCATTTAATTACTTAAATCACAAGTACTCGACTGTTATAAATCCACTGCACCACAAATTTACAATAAAAGCCGAAACCGATTTGTCTGATATAATTTATTTTACACTTATATATACATTTTTTTAAATCACCAATACACACACACACAAGTATCAATTCCGAAGCTAACTACATACTTCGCTCGACAATATTGCACTTACTCTCTAATAAATTCCTATAATAAATCTCTAATAAATAAGTTATCATACATTTTGTAATATACATAATCCTGATTTTCGCACAATACTAGTCATACTGTTGTCAGCACAATATAGAGAAAGTTGACGTAACACAGCCACTCTCTCGCTTTGTACTTTTATATTGTTGTGGTTCCAGATTGTTTTGGAAATGTTTAGATACTTATTTATCGGAAGCGATGTAAGGAAAAGAACAATCTAGGTTATGGCTGTTAGTTTAATTTGAAATAAACAGAAGATTTAGACATAATTGATTAGCGGCTCTATTTGCGGGCGTCCAATGATTGGTTCCGACGCACGCGGCGATTTGACACGAGGCATCTACTGCTATGTGGTGCCTTGTGCGCGCTATTTAAACAGTCAATCGGTACTATTCGAAGAATTACTTTTACGCGTATAATGCTCGACGCTCGGCATGATTTTTATTTAAGATCTCTATATATTTAATTCGAACGTAATTACACAATATTTAATTGCTATAACGTTATTTTAAGTTGTACGCATTATCACTTCAAAATTCCTACGTTTGGATGTGATATAAAATGTAATTAGCGTGAGAGTTTATAAAAGATATATAATTAACTGTCTCTTTAGTAAAAAATATAAGATCACACTTTCAATATCGCTTCAGCAACATGTTCTATAGATCCATCAGGAAAAGGAAGTGTAGTATATCTATCGCCGACAATGTTCATCGAGCAGCCAATTCTCTCTTCTGCTGTTGGCGACGATCATAAGCGACACTGCAGCGTGTCGCATAAAAAAAGAATAAAAAAGATTCCTCCCGAAGGCTGCGGTAATGAATGTGCCGCAGGATAACAGTTAGAAATAACCGGGCCCGGTAGAATGTAATAAATTACAACAGACCCATCGAATTTATCAATTAGCGATAATCGCGGCGCATAAGCCGCACTGATGATTCCTCAATTTAGCAATGACCACCAACGGTGGAAGTGCATCGCGCATCGGCGGATAGTTGCGCCGGTAATTTATTGCCGTCGCGTATATCGCGATATCTAATCGCACTGCGCGAGAGAAAAGGAGAGAGAACGTACGCACTTTCGACTCTATGCTTAGCCACCTGGATATTTGTCACCAGTCGTTACTTTCCGCCGAAGTAATACCTTCCGGCTGCATAGCGGGGACGATCAATGACGACAAGATGCATAAGAATGTGCGTACGAGACGCACTTGAGCACGCGTTTCAATAAAAAAAAAGAAAAATTTAAGCGTCATATGGCAAATCAGGCTGATTTCACTTAGCCACTTTTTACGAATATTGAAATAGTTAAATCGCTAATAAAAGAAGGAATTCTTAAATTTCTATTCCCATGTACCCTTTATAACATGACGCGTACGAATATATTTATTAAAACCAAGCGACAGAATCTTATTCATTGCATGGTTTTTATTTCCAAATTTACATTTTGACGCTTGCCTTTTTTTTTGCAAAACGCGCATCACCTGTCTGCGCGCGTCAGGGATAAACTTAATCGCGGATCGAGAAAGAAATCTCGCGCATTGCCACCGGGTCGGAGCAGATGACGAGGAGACGGGCGACGAAGGACGAGGGGGAGGGGAGGGTTACATCGTAAATACGTATACATGCACGAAGATTAATTATTATAAACCCCTGCCTGTTGCCTGCAGTCATCAATTTATACTCCTCTCTCGTGCATCCCAATTCCAATCCCGATCCCGATCCCGTGAGTTGCGCTATGGAATAAAGGCTCATCCTCTCTAATTTATGCATGTCGAATCAATCTCCCTCCTTCCACCCTTTCTTCCTCCGTCTCTCTCTCTCTCTCTTTCTCCCTCTTTCCTCGTTTTACCTACGTGTTCCTTCTACGTTCCTCTTCGCGCACCTGGACAACCGTCGTCCATGAGAGAGAAAGACCAGCCACCCCGATAATGAGGACCCGAGTTATCCTGTGCAAATATTTTCCTCGACCGCTGTTTGCACAGGCACGAACCGACCAAAGATCTGATCATTCAATGCACCATCGACGTACGTGCATATATACGTGAGTTTTTGCGCGGAAAATCTCAAACGCGTGAATGGGGTAGTCGATTCCGTAGCCGCAATTCTGCGTCTAGCATACCTGCACCGTCTAGACAATGAATTTATGCGCGATCATCTGGGCGAAAACTTCATTCCCGGCGAAATGCAAACATAGATTTCACGGCGATGAAATACCGCGCCGCGAGTGCGTTGCTATTCTCTTCTTGTCTGTGCAATCTTCATCTTGTTCACCATCATCCCGTGTACGAGTATGTTTCACTTGAATTTTCTCTCCGCTGTATTAATAGTATTCATTGATCACATGCGGCGTGAAACTATTCTTCGAGTATCTCTCGAATATTTCTCTTCGCGACTTGATCAAATTTTTATGATTCGACAATTAGCAATAAATTCTTACGTTTACAAGCTTATAAGACAATTAATTATAATTGCTGAGATATTCCAATAAATTTTGGTTTCCAGAAATTGAACCTATTATAATTTAGCTAAGTTTAATTTTTAATCGCGAATAAAAAGAATTTAAGTCAATTATCGCTGGAGCTGTACAGTAACTCCTTATCATAATTTTATATCTCGTAGTAATGCCACGTCCACGTGTACTTACCAAGTTAATTTATTTCTGATATTTGAAATAAATCTTGCAACTCTTTCTTTCTATCGTACCCTTGCTCGTGGGATTTCTCTCTAGACTGCTTGCTAAATGAAAAGTTTGCAATAATAATAACTTATAATATATGATTATTTTATAATTTACAATATATGATATAATTGATAACTGACGTGTATACGTAATGCCGTAAATAATCGAACAAAATGTTCGACGTAATATCGTTCTCTCATTAAAACATTTTGAGCGAATCCAACATAATAATACTTGTAGAATACATAATTTCATCTTGGAGCCCCGAGGACTTGTAAGAAGAAATTTTCTCTTTATTGTCCGCGTTGCTTTCGAGAAGAAGTGAAAACACATGCGTGACATTAATCGATATATTCGTTCCAAAATTTCTTTAATTATTATCCGCGAGTCCAGTACTTCAAATTAATGAATCATTGCTTAAAATTAATAATTGATTAGTTTTTTTTTTATTTTAAAAGTCCAAATCCGAGGAGTAAAACTGTATAACTCAAAATTACGTAATATTGTGAAAAACGAAATTGTTTGTTACAAACAATTTTTCACAAGTAGTTGAAGAAAATGTCCCAGTCTACTAGATTCGGCGAATCTAGAGCTAAAAGCGGCACCAAATCGAGAGAAGCTCGCGCTTGATGGTCGAATTTCGGAATGATGCAAGTATATAATATCGTGTCACATTGCGTGCTGCTTGTACATGACCGGTGTACTTCTTAGGTGGGTAACACGAGCAAAAGGTTAAAAAAAGAACAGAGGCTCATAAAGGCGGAAAAGAGAGAGATGGAGGAAAGAAGAAAAAGAAGCAAGGGATAGATAGAACGTACGTCGTTCGTCTCTTCTCGTACAGGGATACGCTCTAAGGACTGCTTCGCGTATATGCTAGACTGGTGGATACATATGTAAATTGCGAGTACCCCTATTACTGAGACTTCACCTGCGCATCCGGTTTTCGCGTGTGCTTTGATTTCGTCCCCGTACGTCACGTCCTCCCTCCCGTCTACCTTTCAGTTCGTACGCATGCTTGTTCGTGCGGCGCATACTACTTTTCTATAACGTTAAATCATAGTGGATTTCATTAAAACCGCGGGATGAGTAATTGCCGAGGTGTATCGAGCGCGGTTAGTGCGGTAGAGAAACACGTCCGTGTTTAGACGGCGATATATCTTGGAAATTAAGGTTTGTGTCTCGATGGATATCGCGCTGTCGCATCTTAAGCATTGCGTAATTTTCGACGACACCGATGATTTCGAGAATGATCTCGGATAACGTTTTATCTTCGACGTAATGAACTCGTGTAATTATGTCGCAGCTGCCGAGAAAGACTATAATTTGTCGCCTATCAAATGTCAATTTTTTAAAATATCTGGAAATAAAACAAATTTCTAAAGTTAATTTGAAATTAATGGAGTTTTCTATTAGATATTATACATATAGAGGAGCAATTGTAACTCAATCCGTTGAGAGTTAAATAATATTTTGTTATTTTTAACTTTCATGTGTCAAAATGTAAATCTATTTCAATTTATTTCTGGGTTAATTTTAAAGTAAGCAACGGCTATAGTAGGTAACACACGTATGCACTTACAATTAATAAATAAGTTTAGAGAGAGTTAAAAAAATACATTTTTTTTAGTTAAGTTATTGCGACTTCATTATTTCAGTTAAATTAACGTCATATTTAGTAGGAGCAGTGGCGATCTACAGAAATGATTAAAAATAATCTAAATCATAATTTGACTGATTTGGATATAATTTGATTATGAATTTAACAGACGATAAGGAAAAAAAAACCTGATTTCCTATTCGTCAGAGTTACTAAAATATGTGATAGCCTTAAGGCATTCTGCATATTTAGAGATTGACGATAATTTGTATTCCGCGGATAGATGGAGGGCAAGAGGACGATGAGAGGAATCTCTTTTACAACGGTTCGTTTGCATTATGACAGATAAAATTTTATTGCGGCGATGAGGCGTACGAGCGAAAGGTATCTGCGAAGAAATCACATCGATTTCTTCCCATCGATTAATATAACGGACAGAAAGGACTATCAGCTGATATCTTTCGAGTATAAACCTGAGAATACA